CATCGACAGTGCTCTGAACGCCTGCTCTGTCTGAGCAATTACATCTACTCTAAAGTGCTGGATAACAGTCAGGGACAGGAGAGGAGTGGAGAGAAGAGGAGAGAAGGACGAAAAAAGGAGAGGAAGACAAGAGTAGAGATGCTAGGCTGAAAACGAAGAATGTCATAATGGAGAGAAAGAAAGAAATAAACAACTCTTACCCATACCAACACACACGTGCTTCGGGTAACATTAAAGCACCATGAGACACCAGCAGCTCACACGACAAAACAACAGCCTTCACATTCGTCACCGCACACTCCCTCCGAAAAACACAATCAGTTGCTTATGTAGCCACGAGACGGGAGGCAGGGAGGATGGCCCTCGGCGACATATGTGTTCCATCATGCTTGTCACAACAACACGTTTCATCTGCTAAATACACTCCACCAGACAACAAATCCGCCAGAACGCTAAGAGCAACACAAATTTGTTTACAGACGAAGTGACGTCTCACAAATACATCCAGAGGTAGACGGCAGACAACAGAGACAGATAATGCTGGTGCTGCTAGCACTTCTTTCACTTGTAATCCCTTTGGCATCTATTGATGAACAAAGAAACTGGATTCAAAGATCTTTGAATTTGCTGCCTTTTAACTAATTTCACATAGAATGCTTCATGTTTTATGCGTCCTTTTTAAGTTGCCACTCCTAAATTTCCATAATCAGGCTTCTTAAAATGGAGCAAAGTAATGACAAAGAGGCAACTGGGGGAAAGTCAGAAAGGCACTACACATTACACACACACAATTCAATTCAGTTCCATTTTATTTATACAACACCAAATCACAACCACAATAATACAACAGAGAAAAACCCAACAATCATATGACCCCCTATGTGCAAGCACTTTGGCGACAGTGGGAAGGAAAAACTCCCTTTAAACAGGAAGAAACCTGCAGCAGAACCAGGCTCGTGGAGGGGCGGGGCCATCTGGTGTGACTGGCTGAAGTTAGGGGAGGAAATATTAGAAAACTGTATGTTTTGTATATAACTACTAAATATTCTATGTTCACATTAGTTGGGGAAGCACTAAGGGGTAGGGTTGCATGACATTTTAGCTAAATAAGCGTAGTTTTAGAAACTAGAAGATGTTTAACAAGTAAAAATTAACCTAGCCTTAACTGTAAACATATTTTCTATAACTATGTTGGTTTTTGTGTATTCTCTGTGGGATGAAGGGAGATCATATGAAGTCAGGAACAAAATCATTATGAAAAAAGTTCAATTAACCAAAAATACCTGTTTGATTTTTTTTCTATTGGAGTGTGGAGTTCCTGTCAGAACAGAGCAGGAATCAAACATTTAAGACAATGCTCACATGCATTCACATGCTGCATGAATGGAGGAGGTAATTTCTGAGCAGTTGTTGCAGTTGTTGCAAAGTGGCTTGCATAAGCACACCAAATATGGAATAAAGGAGCTTAAATAGCATAGTCTCTATGAGATAGTTGAATTGGATATGAAGAAATGCATCAGTTCACTGCATTAAGATTAGTTCTTCTGATTTCTGATCATGCTTACCTGCAACCAACACAATTTTGGGTGACATTTAATGTGACTCGTTCAGATGTTAGTGTGTACATTGATTTTAAACAGCTAATCACTTTTTATGTAGCCAGCCACATATATAGTAGACCAAACATGGAGGAGAAGAGAACTCATAGGTGTTTGAGTGCCGTGGAGACTCATTTTAATTTGTGTCTGCACCTTCAGACTCAAGATATGAAGGTTCATAACTGTTTTATCAGTTTTATTAGCAGGGTCCCATTCAACAAAGGAGCGAAAATCCAAAGGAAAGGGGCAACATAACTGTTACATACACTTCAAAGAAAGGTTCACTAACAGCAGCTAACAACTGCAAAAACAGCACTACACTCACTACAGATGAATGGCAGCCAGAGTTGTTTGTCCTGCAGCACCCACCATAGATAGGATTAACTTAAACTGGGAGGAGTAAGAAAATAGATCTGGTCTCCTTACTGAGAGTTTAAGAATCTTGTGTTTCATTAGAGCCACCATTATCTTTAAATGTAACAGAAAAACACTATAAAGCTCCCAGCTGAGTTTCCTTTGCCATTTTCCTTAAACATTATGTGTCACGACGTTCTTAAGAAGTGAGATTTGGTTGTGACAGACTTACTGTAGAAGCTTGTCTACACATGGGTGTATATAAGAGGGGATTGGCCAGGGGACTGGGATGCCCGAGGGCATGTGTTAGAAAGGTAAAAAATGACAGGGCTTGAAAAGTTAAGTGGAAATACATTAGGCACAGGGTAGAGGAAGAGGTCTGGGGAACAATGACAATCTCAACAAATAAATCCAAATCTTTCTTCATGGATAGATACAGATAGACCTGCGGGAGAAAATATCTTTTTTGGTAAATTGGGTGAAGTGACCCTTTAAGTGATTAAATGATGCTCACTGACATGAAAAATGAGGAGGAAAAATGAACATTTCAGCATCAAGAAAAAGTGCTGACAGGTTAATTGGTCAGTGAATGTTGAGCAGCTTCACATTAGACAGACAACAATTGCACTCTGTCCAGAACGAGTCCTGTTTCATATTAGTATAATTGATGGAATGCAACTGATGGGTGGTCTGTTTTTTTTCTTTTTCTCTTTTTTTATGACAGAAAAATGTTGCTTTAGGCTCAGTGCTCCAAACATTATTGCGCTGTACAAATTTGCCACACCACAAAACTCATTTGTCCATGTTGTCTCAACTTGGCTGTATGCCTGAGCGCATTTGAAAACCCCATTTGGAGATGTTTTTCGGGAATAAAATAGTACAATGCTTAAGAAAAAAAAATCCTATTTAGTGGGAGTTTGTCTTTGTGAGCGTGGCGTCATGCTAAAAACCCTATTTTCGCCGGGAACGGCCACCCTATCACAAACTCTGCAGGGGAGCCACATTAGAGGTAATGTCATCCACAGTTTAGCCCTCCACTCCTCATTCCTCCATCTCTCCCCTAATGAACTCCCACTGAATTACCACTTCACCAGCGCCCTGCCTTTTTATGATTCTATTTGTTTATCTATCTCTGATTTCCTCCCTCGTCTTCCTCTGCCGCCCGGGCACACACCGGCTCTTTAATTTTATTGGCCACCGTTAGCGAGCTGCGAGTCGAGGCGTTTGGCTCGTCAGATAACCCCCCACCACCGCCGCCACCATCGCCACACACACGCACACACATCGAAACCACCTCCACTCCGTTTGCTGAGATTAGCATTAGCAGATTAGGGTGTTCATCAGTCAGACGAGGTGGTGGTAGTGGTGGTGGCGGTGGGGGGGGGACCCCCGTCGTGACAGGCCGCGGCAAAATCGCACAAACCTCTCTGGAAGGCATTGTGGCGTAATTGAATGCGCAATAATTTCCCTCCATTAATACATCTCTCATATCGCGGCTTACGCACAAAATGTCCACATTATCTGTTGCACTTTGTTAATGTCTTCACTCCTTAACAGTACATTTAATAGCACGAGTGAAGCGGAGTGAGCGAGCAAGTGCAGAAAGAACATCTGAAAGGCGTTTCATTTTTCATTAATCTATTCTAAGTAGGTGTCAAAGAAAATGGAAAGAATGATCACAACTCCAGCTGTTCATGCGATGGCTGCCAAACTTTTGTGGATTCGCTAACACTGACTGATAGCTGCCCGACAGGGGACGGCTATTAATGTGGCTTCCTGTTTAGTCTGAATTATTGTCCCTTTTTATGTTTTTAGGGCTGAATCGGGAGAATTTAAAATCTCTTCTGTTCCCACAAACTTTTTTTTCTTTTTTTGTTTTTTTAATAACCACTTGTCTTATTGGTGCATGAAGCCATGAACAGAAACAGATGCAGCAAATATAAAACAGCAGTACAGACACCAGAGACAACCCAAACGCTTACTCATACTACACGAGTATGTAGTATATTCATCCTGGCTTTCACCTTAAAATCACTCAGTAATGTTGCAGCGCATGAAAGCAACTATCCAGATTTTTAGATTATGTTCCTTTAGCAGAGTAGCAATGTCTATTTAGATCTGCAGGCTCTATTTACATTGACTATATTCTTTTTTAGGAAATGCACTCAAAGATTGTCCAGGCATATATGACCAGCTTTGACGGCCGCTCTGGTGCATCTTAGGGATTTATGAGACACGTGTGTAGTTCATTTAATTTTGAATGTGTTCTCATTAATAACATCAAAGGTATTTTTAATGCATTTTTATTATGAAATTGAAAATATATTTTGCAAGAGTGTCCACAAAATTGCGTACAGCAAAATATACAAAGTCAGATGGGAGCAGATCAAGGATGGCCTTGTAAATAAGAATATGCCAGTTGCTGAATCTATGGAAGGATGCTATATTATCTATTGTGTCACTGCTGATGAGAGAGAATAAATATGACATTCTGAAGGACATTTTACATTATTCTACAATATGGACTAATGATTAGGGAATGCGACTGTCATTTTGTGATAATGGTTTTTCAACTCATCACTGATCCCATTCTCATTTAGAGCACTTCAAATACTGTTGGCAGAAATAGTCACAGGGCTTACTTTAGCATCAATGCTGTGACACAATCGTTACTCACTACTCCAGTCATTCACAGGTTGATACCTGGACGAAGGGCACCTCAGGGTTAGGGTTAAACCTAGCTCTTTTTATTAAGCATAATTACACTAAAGCCCTACAGTCCTATGAGCATTTACACCCTTGAGCTCTTCCTAAAGCTTGTTTGGGTGCTTATAAAACTAAACTGTAAGTGAAATACATCAAAGACCATAAACATCAGTTTCCATTGATTAAAGATGTTAAAGATGGTAAGTAAACATTAATTATCACTTAACTGTAAATAGCAAATAATTCAGTAATTCAATAATTAAGTTCAGTTTACTGGTAATTAGGCATAAATTAACACATAAATATATATACATTTATATAGATATATATATATATGCTCACCATTATCCAGGTAAAAACACGCTATCACCTATGATCCAATCCATTCTCTCGTATGCACCCTGGTGAAATATGGTCCAGGTGTGGGTCCAGTCCACCACCGAGCTTTACATTCCAGCTTGCGTCCTAAAATCAAACCAAAATAAAAGCATTTTTTAAAATATATCTAAAGGCAAATTGTAATGATCTGTGCTGTTATTCCAGAATGCAGTTTGTAATGTAAAAATAGTTTGTGCAGGTGAAAGCCACTAGATTTGTACATGACACTGACTTTTCTCTTATAACAATATAACGTTTTTCCTCAAACATCTTGACATTTTCAAATTCTTTTCATAGACGTCTACACCACCATTTAATCAAAAAGCAGAAGAAGAATCCTTTTCCACAAAAAGTTAAGATGCCTGAAGCGACTCAAAGGCTCCCATAAAACTCAGGTCTTTGTTTTCTGTTTGTAATTTACCGTACAGCTTTGTTGCCATTATGCGTGCCATAACTGGATAATAACTTCACCTAAGCATCCATGGATCTCACTGTGCTCTTCTCTAATATCTGCACCATTGTTTTGTTTCTTCTTTTATTGTTTTTGTTTCCATCTGCTCCATGGCCAACTTAGTTATTGTGCCAAGTTATCTACAGTCTCCATGCTTCAACGTGTTCATAAACACACAAACGTCAGAGTAAACTGAAATCACACAGTTGCCACTCGTGCTTGATCCCGTAAATGTTGCCATGGTTTTGCAGCCTAGCGACCTGTGTGTGTGAATGATTTACACATACACACTCACCTTTAATTCTTTCCTTTCAGCAGCCTGCAAACACTCAGGGATAAGTGCTTGACGTGCTGGTCGAACAATAGACATATTACCTCTGGCGGTGATTGCTGGTGGGAGTATTGGTGTGTTTGTGTATATATGCTGTTAGCTTGTGTGTGGACAGACAAATAAAAAAAAAAAAAAAACAGGTGGGAGGTACTACACGTTGAAAAGGAGATAACAGGACAACTTATAATTAAAATGACTGATTTTCTTCATGTAATTGTTTATCAGATAAATATTTTTAATGATTTTTTTTCTATTTGCTGTAACCAGGACTTTAAAAACATGGTTTAAAAAAAGAAAACATTTGAAGATACGTTTGCCTCACAAAATGCAATGATTTCATTAACTGAAAATCAAATGTAAATGTTTCACTATTACAGTTTGTCCACACTGGTTGAGTTTAAGCTGCATTGATGAGCAATTATAACAAATGGTGTCGGTACTGAAAAGACAAAACCTGGAATCTGACCACATTTCTTTTCAGAGAGTTTCTTGGGTGTTTTGTTTTTCAATCTAATACACAGCAACAACATGCAAACAGCAAAGAAAATATCTACAAAAACACAAAATGTTCTTATAAACACAAAGAGCAGAAAGTAAAGAACCAGGATAGAGGACAAAAAGACAGCTACCTCCATCCATGACGATTAAGTAAAAGAATACAACTGAAACATAACACAAGCCATTATACAACTGTTCTATTTGGTTTCTGCTGTCACCTGAGGAGTGAACTATGAAGCAGCTTCAACACCCTGTAGCTGTTTGTGTTGGTTGACAGAAAACATAAAGGGTGTCACACTGGAGGTCCTAAACTTTGTTTGTCTCTACTTCAGTTTGTATTCCCACTTAATCTATTGTTTGACTCCTCTTCTGCATAAAATGAACTAATGACATGATAAGAGAAACTACTGATAGAGATCTATAAAGAATATAAAGGGAAAGAAAAAGACAAGAGAGCAATTATTTGCAATGTTTCTCATGTGAAACTTTAAACCTGATTTAATAAAACATCGCATGTGGGTCTGACACTGTCACATAGATTGATGTACTGTGTTAAATCTACTCTGTGGCTATGGTGTAGCCCTATGAACAACATGTCTGCAAGCACTTGCCAATTATGTATGGAGTGGTAGTGAAACCTAAAAAATACTATGATGCAAACTGGAAATAGAGCCTGGTAGAAATAACCTTCAAAGTAAAAACCTTTACCACTGCAGCAACACGTTTCCAAAAATGCAACTTTTACTTTGAAGGGAAACATTTACATCATTTACATCACACTTTTCAGTTTCACTAATCAGTGAGTTTGCAGAGCAGGTTTCTTCTGTTCAAACTACAGGTGGCCATGGCAACCTACTAGCCACCAAAGCAGTTACAAGAACCTTTTCAGTGCAGCACTGTGTATCTCTTTGCAGTCGGTTTCAGCTTGCAACTGTCAACAACCTCCAGCAACCACTTGCCAACCTGTCAGGCAATGCAAGCATGTGTCCAACGGGTCTGCAGGCTAATGTGTTTAGTATGAGTTATCGTGATGATCTCGCCACCTTTGTGATGCTGACTTTGGACTTAGCATACCTTGCTGATCCACCAGCTCATTCAATTGTGGCCAAATAACAAAGTAGAAGAAAAGAATTGAACAATGCTAATAACAGAATGCACATTAAAAACAATATACAAACGGTACATATAATATATAAAAGATAAATTAAGTGAATCTGCATAAAACTATACACCAAACAGGGATGGGCAGTAGAAACAAAGGGAGGATGTGAATAACTTGCATTTATCAATCAGCAGCAGTAAACTATAACTGTAATTAACCTAAAGAGGCCTCCTTTATATTGCATAGTAAAAAAATAAATAAGTAAAATCAAAATCAATAAAAACAACAACACTCCTCAGCTTATGTAAAATTCTACAGGCACACTCATAGCCTGCATTTTTCTCAATTACTAAGTTCTTAAGTTCAATCTATTAATATGAGAGTTATCAAGAGAGCAAGTCTTTATACAAAGTCATCAGAAGTTGGGACTGATCTAATTGGTGTATCTTTGTCATAGAAAACTGAGAGTCTGTGCGTGACAACACAGGTGAGCCACCTCACACTTAAGGCCACTGGTCTGCAACATGAATGGAAGGATATGGAAACGAATCCCACCATGAGTCCATTCAGATACCTGTTAACACATCTGTAAGCTTGAATTGATAAAATCCAAAAGAAAAGGTGATAAAATGGTATTCTACTCAGATAAATACATGTGAAGTTTAGTGATGGAGGTGTGTAAATAATTCTCTCTTAGTGTGTTTCATGATTTCCTCAGTGAATTATCAGCATACATTTGTGCGCCTGTTTCTCTGTGTATTTGGGACCTTGTCGTTTGTGTGTGCAGCACATGTGTGTGCGGCCTTGCTCAGGGAAGCGCACCGCCCCGCGGATGACACTCAGAATGCATTATAACCATTAATGAAAAAGTTAATGGGGCATTTTCTTACATATCAATTTACATTTGACTATCTGGGTGCACAAATGATGTCTGGGCGGTTGCGGCCAACGCCACTCCGCACCAAAACAGGGAGGTCTAATGTGTTTTTGTGGACATCAAATGTTGTGAATAATGACGCATCCACTGAATGCAAATCAGATGACACTTGATAGGCCACGATCAACAGTGCCTGCATGCAAACTTTCATGAACAGACACAATGAAAGAGAGGAAACAGAGAGAGTTGCTACTGACAAAACACGTTCCTGCTGCATTACACCTTTCACACATAGACTGTACATAAAAGATGAACATGCTACTGTGTCGTTGCACCTTAGTTCTGGATTTCACATTCTGAGGTCTCAACATTCACAGATTGGATGCCGCATTGTTTTTGGAGGCAAAAATGACCAGATTTGGACAAAGAGCAGCGTGGAGGCTAGCAATGTTGCCTCATAGCAAGAAGATCCTAGGTTGGAATCCTCCGGTCAGCTGGGGCCTTTCGGTGTAGAGTTTGCATGTTCCCTCTCATGTCTGTGTGCACTCTGCCCCACAGTACAAAGATATGCTTGTTAGGTTTATTAGTGATTCCAAGGTATAAGTGAAAAATGAGCATGAATGGTTGTTTGTCTTTCTGGTAATCTGTCCAGGGTTTACTTCTGACCCTTTGACAGCTGGGATCGACTCCAACCTCTCTGCAACTATGAATTTGGATAAGCAGAAGAAAATGGATGGATAGATGCATGGCTAAAGCATTTGCTAAGGCAAGCAAGTACAGTTAGCAAGTTGCACTCATCAACGTACGGGTGCTGTGCTGTTTGTTTTACTAACTAGTAGCTATTGAACTGCTATAATTTTACTAACCAAACCTCAAGCACAGACTGTTTGCATAGTTTATTGGTACAGTTAGAAACAGAGAAAACCATACAATTTTCCAGGTGCTCAAAAGGCACCAACAATACAAACACAGTCAAATGGTCCAGTTCAGCGGCTCAAATAAGTGGAGACAATGACAGGTTGCCTGACCAAAGCCTAGAGCTTCCTGTGTCAGTGACAAGCAGCAACAATGTCCCTAACTTGCAATGAAGAGGAAACTATCCAGACATGCTGTTAAATACTGTTTTGTTCGACATTTAACATAAGAGTTTATGCATATCCTTTTGTGAGTGGAGAAAGTGCAGCTTATAGGACTTACTTTTTCAGATACTGCCTTTTGCTTTCACATATGCAAAGCAATTTTTGTTATCTTGCTTTAATGATGCACTCACAAATCAAAATGTGTGTGGAACACCACTCTCTCTGACACACACACACACACACCAGCAAGGACTCTATGTTATGCTTCTCAAAGCATGACAGTTCTGTATTCAAATACATTATTGTCATAATTATTATTATTCTATATGGGAACATTATGTGGTTCTACATTTTGTACCCTGTAGGGTTCCCCTGTAGGGAATTGGTGAGACTGTCTATTAGGGAACTATTTTCCCGAGATGTGGTGACATACATATGCATGTAAAGTTAGCAATTTGACTGCAATAAGGCAATCCATTTGTTAAATCTGACATGATTATCCGGGAAGTCACAGACAGTCAACACCAAGAGGTTGAGAAATCTTTCATAGTGCACGTCTATCTTTTTATTCTCTTTTTCATTTCCCCCAAAAAATGTATTTAACACAATTCAGTGAACTGCATACTGATCTTCAAGCATAGAAACAAAATTTTCATCCTACTGCGCTAGTATCAATCCATTACCAGTACCAGTGTTGGTATCACTGCTATTGAAATTTGGCTCAATCCGCCCACCTCAGAGACAAACAC